GCTGAATTATGAAAAGATATTCTAATCATTATCCTGATGGATGCGCTCCAGCCAGCAGACACCATCAGTGTTTCTACCACAGTTAGTTACAATATTATCAGCACCAGCCTAATTAAAGGCAACAAAACATTTATTACAGAAGCTGCAAACTTTTTCAATCTGACTTGTTGCATATGTTTTTCAACTTCCTTTTTTATGTCTTATTAAAGTTCAGATTTTTCATATTCAACAATTTTAAAAGCATTAAAAGAAGAAGGATAAAATTGCTTAGCTCTTTCTCACTTCGAAGAGGTGGCATAAGCCATAAGGTTCTATTTACGCTTATGAGGATAGAGGAAGCATTTGAGGAAGGAAGAATTCAAATAGATCTGATATAATAAGACTCGAAGAGGTAACACAATGATTAAGAATTGATGTGCGTTTAACTAGCTTAGAGAAAGAGATTAACGGAAGAAGCAAGAGTTTAATTAGCTCTTTTTCTAATTGAAGAGGTAGAATATACATAAAGATTGATACAAGGCTAACAAGGAAGGAAATTAATGAAAAAGGAAATAGTTTATTAAGCTCTTAATCAACTTGAACACATAGCACAAATCTTAGGCTCTGATTGTTTATAAGATATTTGGTCACTTATGATTAGATATATTTTTTAACTCAAAATCAAACTCAACCTAACCCTCCTCAATATTATCAATATAATTAAATAATACCAACCATCATCCTCACACATCATATCAACTTTAGCTCAATATTCATCTACTCACATAATTTTAACTACCTATTAGGGTCTCTAGTAATAAACCTCCACAAACCTCATTTTTCTATTCCAAATTTGCCACATCACCCAAAACATTATTCTTGCTCCTACAACCAAAAACCTCAAATAATCATAAACCTCTTTTTTAATGGGCCCCACATATTTTCCATTTACTCTATTTTAATATCATCTATGTTATTAAATAACAATTCGCAATAAAACTATATTTATTCAATAAAAAACTATATTTATTCACTTTTAATGGGGCCCCTCATGAGGTTTGGTTGAGGTTCGCAAATACAAACCCTAAAGCCCTAGCTTCTAATAGCAAACCTTACAAGTTTGTATTTTCAAACATGTTCAAAACCTTCTATTAAACATGCTCACTTCCAATCACCTTTGTCCTACTTTAACAACAAATCAACTTTAATCATTATATTTTAAATATTATTTTGATACAAACCCAAAATTCCACTCATGGAGCTTCTCTTTGGTGTCAGCTTGGTTCACTTATCAAAAGCGATACAGGAGAAGTTTCAATGCCAACGTTGTAGAGGATGCAGCTGAATTTTTTGTTGATGCGGTGAATTTGATAAGACATAGACGAGCCTATTTATTACGTACTTTTGGCAGGCACTTCATCTTAATTAATTGCAACAATTATCCTTTTTGTCTTCTCCACGATTCAAGTTTGTCGATATTGGGATGGGGGAACAGCAGGCTTCCTTCCTTTTCGCGGTGAAAACTTGGAACGTCTTTCGAAGCCAACAGCCTTGAGGACAAGGCTATTTAAGGGATGCAGAATTGTTTCAGACTCTATGATCCAAAATAAATTAATGGGCTCCGGGCCCATAGGATTAAGGTTCCAATTAATGTTTTATTTGCTCAGGTTAGTATTTAAGTGAGTCCTTGTCTATTCATAGAATGGGTGGGATATTATTTCCAAACAAGAATTTCGTGTACTTTATTATTTTGCATAATTTATATAAATTCATCCTTCACTCTATCAAATGTACATAAAACAAAACTCAACACAATATATCATGCAAAGAACAAAAAAAGCGCAAGTTTTTGTGCATTTATCGGAAGTTACGCAGCCGTTGCCTTTCGCAGGAGTATCATTCTAACAGCTCGGGTCAGAAGAAACGGTTGTGCAGTGAGCATCATGATTACACAAATGACGAATCGATTAAGGAAAACAAAAGTGGCAGACAATACATAAAAGAGGTCAGCGCAAAGCAGCTACCATTAAAGTGATGTCAAACATGATCAGACAAAGAACAACATGCCCATCAGCAAGTTTTCCCATAATCAGAACAAGACTTCATTAAAATGAATTTGGATTCTGGCCCATGGCTGCTCGTTTGACAACTTTTTGAAAATTTCAAGATGAAAATCCAGCTACTGGTGCTCTCATTTAAACCACAATATTGGTATGACAATTTTATTTCGTATGATACTAAAATGTGGCATGTGAAACCAAAACTATGAACATATTTATCAGTACATATAAAAAAAAAGGCCAGTTGAGGGATAAAATTATACTGTGTGCGTGAATCATTTATCCAGGTAGACAGTAGTAAATTAAAACCTAGAAGCTATCCAGTTAAGGTATAAAATGATGCTGGGATACTTATCATGAATCTAAGTAGAGAATGGAATGTTTTTTATCACTAATTCTATGGATTCAAACATATTAGGAGGAGACACTAACATGAACCTCAAGTGTAACACACAATAAAATGGAAAGCTCGACATAGGGACAAACCTCTGTCAAGAGATCCAAGCCTTCAGATCTATGCTTTCTTTCATATCCAGGTGGCGGAAAAGGGAAGCAGCGAGACATTGCACACTTTCCCTCGTCAAAAAGAAGTTATTACAATCAAAAGAAGAATATTCTAAGATCAATTCCTCCAGATAGAAGTGTTCCAGTATTGGAACAAACCACCATTTATATTTTAGCCCATGCACCATGACCCCACATTGATTTCAAGATTTAATCATCCATCTAGCTCCTCCTTCTACTGGTCCACAAACCCAAAATCATGCTACGGCCAATTCAAGTTTTACACCAAGGAAGATCAAAATCCAACTGTTTGTCCCCGACCTCGACTATCTTGCTGCACCCTTAACCACAAACACAAAAACAAATTCCAAGCCCAAATCAACTGAATGCAGGCAGAAAATGAGTAAGCTTGACGAAAAATTCTGATATCAATAGCTCATGCAGTAAGAATCACCGTAAAGGAGAGTGTAAATCCAATGTTCTTGAGAAAGTGGAACAGTTTGCTAATGGATGGTCTCCAGCATCCAAAGTAAATGACAATTAATAATCAGCCCTCCATTTTGGCACCAAAAAGTATAAGTCTGATATCATTCCTTGACTCATAAAAGAAATGCAAAAGACTAACACTCATTTCATCAGAAATTCGAACATTCCGATTATTAAATGTATTTATTTGAACAGTCCTCTTCCATACCCTTTTGAACTGAATCACAATACTTACAGTTAAAGATGTTTCCTGAGCTTCTTAGGATCAAATCCAACTCCAATAATTTTTTATTTTTTTTTTCCCAATCTGCAAAGTGGACTTCTTTTGAGAAAGGGCGACTGGAAAATCAGAATTTGCAGATGAATTCCCCAATTCCAGATATTCGCTGACCAAAATCCTCACTCCAACTGTCAATCTGTCCCTCCAAAGCGGATCAGATTCAGAAACCTTGAATAAAATTCACCATCAGCAATCAATTTCAGAGGTGCCAAAAACCCAAATTACCAACCAAGAGAGAAAAAAGAGCAAATTCCGATTGATCTAATCAAATTGAAATTGGTTCCACTTAGAAAGAAGGCCCAAAACCAGCAACTCTCATCAAAACGGCAAAGCCAAAGCCACACATAAATGAAATTTTCCAGTGAAGAATTGGATCGTACAAATTATTCCAATCCTCCGAACAACAGAGAAAAATCTTTGAACCCCAAACTCACTTCAATTGGAAATAGCCTAGTTATAACTCAATTCTCTCATCTATTTAAATCTTCAAGTCACATTTTTACCTTGCCTGCTACTAAATGAGAGAGTAATGGTAGGAAGGGACAAGATCCAGATTATTTTACTCTATCCTTTTCTCAGGAAAAACACTTATCGAACAACCAAACAAGGCAATAACATCCCCCCTTCCCTCGATCGATTTCACTATTACAGACAAGAAGAGAGATGTGCGGTTAGGTTTATGCTGCTTCAGTGTGCTGCTTGCGAAAAAATGGAGAGATGAGGGTTTATTTTGGTGTTGGGGAAATACTAACAAGTTACAACTCGAAATGGGTACTAAAAGGAGGAAACCCGAAGGCATGGTTCATTTGTACTAGTGCTTCTAGAGAGAGAAAGTGAGAGCCGTGTGTCTATGCATGAGTGAGAAATACCCAAGCACTTACCGTTGAACGAAGTGACCCATTCTTCTCTCTATGTGGAAAGAGAAATAAATTAGTGTTTTAACCTTTTAGAAAAAAAAAGGAAATAAATAAATTAGAGTGTCAAAAATAAGTGTAACATCTTTTACATCTCATTATGTAACTACCTTTTTTATTTCAATATTCACAAAATGTTATGCCATATTATAATCATATTTCCAAATCTATGACGAATTAATAGTTATAGCGAGATTTTGTCGCATATATTACAATGCATATTCATGAACACATAGTTAACAGTTGTGCAAAACATTTGTTACGTATTTAGTAATTGCATAGGACTCGGCTAAAAGGAGAGGAAGTAAGTTGTGTGTGCTTCTCATCTTCTTAGGAATGAACAAGTAGATAAATAAAATGATTATGATATTTTTTTTCTTATTGTTTATATATATATTTATATATATTATATGTCTATTATTATAAAATAAATAATCTACTTAAAGCAAGCGGCACTTTTCCGCCTTGCCGCTTTCTTGCTCATTACGACTCAAATAGACGGGGTTTTTCCCATTGCGCAATCCAAATCCGTCACATAATCGTATCGGTCCTTCATAAGATCAACTTTTTTACCCCTCTTAACCCCGTAATAAAGAGTTGTTGGCAACCCCTCATCAACAGTGTACAAATACCAACCCATCTGGGTCCCCAAAAAAAAAAGAACAAACGAGAGAAAAAAAACACACAGAACTACAAACACATAGAATTTACTTCTCATAGGTTGTATTCATTACTTATATATATATATATATATATATATAATTATTGGCATATAGCATTTAATAAAACTATTTAATAAACCCTTTAAAATTTTCCCTCCATTTTCGGTTACAAAATTTATTATAATATGTTTTTACTTCTCACATTAATACATCATATTGAGTGTAATCATGTATGTTTATATTATATTACATAATAGTTATTGCTAATACCAAATAATAATAGTTCACAATAAGTATAAATTAAATAATTATAAATAATGGTTTCAAGTTTAACATATATATTATCATTTTCTTTTGTATCGCATGATAAAATTTCTGTAAAAAAAATTAGTAAATTGTTTTACTAGCATAGTCAAATAACTTTAGAATCTTATAAAAAATTGCTTTTAATAATAAAAATTATAATAATATATATTTATATAATTGCTAGCTAGCAATAAATTTTACCAAATAAATAAACCTATTTAATTTGACCTAATAAATTTTACCTCATTCAACTTTAGTCTTAAATGATAAAGAGGAGAGAGAAAAAATAAAAACATAATAGTGTATTGATCTGTAATTAAGTAGTAGGATAATTTGGTAACTTTCTAAACACAAAAACCGTTACACTATATTATTATTATTATTATATGATAAAAAAATTTCTTGCACTTTTTTTTTATTAATTAAGAAAAAATTCGTTACTTATTATATTAAATGAATAATAATTATATTTTTTTATTATATCATATAATAGTTACTATTAAAATTAATAATTATATTTTACACAAAATGATATATAAAAGTTACATAAGTATAAAAAGTTATATTGTAAAAATAAATAAAATAATTTTATATTTTTTTTCTTATTGTTTATAATATATATATATCATATTATATGTCTATTATTATAAAATAAATAATCTAATTAAAGCAAGCGGCGCTTTAGCGCCTCGCCGCTTTCTTGCTCATTACAGCTCAAACAGACGGGGTTTTTTTCATTGCGCCATCCAAATCCGCCACATAATCGTATCGGTCCTTCATAAGATCAAATTTTTTACCCCTCTTAACCCTGTAATAAAGAGTTGTTGGCAACCCCTCATCAACATTGTATAAATACCAACCCATCTGGGTCCCAAAAAAAAAAAGAACAAACGAGAGAAAAAAAAAACACACATAACTACAAACATATAGAATTTACTTCTCATATGGATGTATTCATTACTTATATATATATATATATATATAGAGTTAGGATCATATGAGAATGACTCACCAGGAAAGAAATAAGAATAAACTTGGACCATTAGATTTACCACATGAATGATCATGATGAAGTCAAAACTAATTAAACATGGTCAAAATCGCAGTGGCATCTTGCAAATAACTGAACATCATTTGGTCATTTTATGGGCAAATATGTAATTTCGTTATACCACCCAATCAGTGGGTCCCCCACTTATCTCTCACGCACAAATAACATACACAAACACAACTCTCTGGACGACTGCATCTCACACGCAAATAACACACGCCACTACCAGATCCGCCGACCGCCGCCGACGACCACCAGCCCCAACGCAGACGCGCGCCATGCCGGTCCAGTGGACGCCGACCCAGTCTCAGCCACCTCGTCCCTCGATGTCCCCGTCCGACCACCCTGACGCAAACCGACCTCCATACAGCCGGCAACGCCGCAGGCCGTTCGTGCCCCCATCAGCGACGACCTGAACCGACGCCGCCAGATACGCGAAGGTGATGGTCGTCGACGTCTCCTTCCGCTCGATCTTCCCCGACCCGATTTTAAGAGTCCTCTGATCGACATCGATCTGGATTTGAGAGCAGGCCGCGGCGAATCTGAGCGTGACCGGCGCACGGAGTCTTGTCGTGGAGGGAGATGAACTCCTTGAACTTGATGACGGCTCCGGCAGCCACCGATTGGAAGTTAGGAGAGAAGTATGCTGATGAAGGCTGTGGGAGAGATTAATAGTTCATGGATTGTGGGTCTTTTTTTGTAAATTTGATAATTTGGAAGGACTTAAATGTGGTTTATTATATTTTAATATAGAAAGATGTTACGGTCTCGTTACGGAACTATTCCATCGGGGTTTGCAACCGTTAGATCAACTATCTCTGATGGTTACATGATGATCTAACGGTTACAAAATCCGACAGAATGGTTCCGTAACGGGACCTTAGCATTTTCCTTTAATATAATTCAATTTAGCATATTAGGCAAATATGCAATTTAATAAAAGTTTATTCCATGCACAATAATGTTAAGTACAATACACAATATAATGTGCGATTTTGCACTTTAGAGTTAAAAAAGAAAAAAAAAAAAAAAAAAAA